ACAATTGGTTAAAATTTCTGACGACAATACTCCTGAAAAAGAATTGGAAGTTATCCATTCAACTTCGGATCAAAAAAATAACAAACAAGAACCAATAACGCTTGACTCACCTGTCAAAGAAAATGGATCCAATTTTTCTCAAGGTCAACAGCAACTGATCGCAATGGCCCGAGCACTAGTTCGTCATTCCAAATTGATAGTAATGGACGAAGCTACTGCAAGTATAGATTTTAAAACTGATTATTTAATACAGACGACAATTAGGGAGGAGTTTAAGGATAGCACTGTTATCACTATTGCACATAGGTTGCGAACTGTCGCAGACTATGATAGAATTCTGGTTATGGGTATGTATTCTCAAAGTTCAAAGAAAAAAAATTTTTTATCAACATTTGAAATATTAATTCCTTCTCTCCAAAATTAGATGCTGGACAAGTGGTTGAATTCGATGCTCCATACTTACTAATGCAAAAACCTGATGGGATATTTAGAAAAATGTGTGAAAGAAGTGGAGAATTTGCAGAATTAATGGAAATTGCTAAGCAGAAATATGAAAGTAAATGATAACTAGCATTGGCAATGAAACAATGGATTTATATTTAAAAAATTTTTTATAAATAATTTAATGCTAAGTTTACTAAAATACGCTATACATATCTCAAAAAAAATGATTGAAAAATTAATACTTAGTGCTCAAAAAAAAACTTTCTTTTATATATATTTTTTTTAACTCTAATCCTAACTTTTATTAGAAGCAGAACTTTTTTGGAAAAAATAACCACATATACATATATATATTTTTAACAACTTAAATATATAGTTATAGTAAATTTGTAAATTTTTAGGATTAAAAATTGTACAATGTAACAATGGACTAGATTAGGGTACTAAAATATTGTCGAAAGGCAAAAAAAAACTTTTTAATTCATCAATTATACTGTAATTTTGAAAATTAAACTTTTATGTAATAAAGAAGAATAAAATGGGTATTGGGAATTACTACTTTAAAAGATGTAAAATCATATTATAACTTCATATTTTCTACATAGTAAAGACTTTGATACTGTACAATTAAGAATTTTTATCCCTGGTCAACCCCATCTATGTAACTTTTTCATGTACTTATTTCTACTAGGCATATATCTAGTACTCTGCAAAATCAAATCAAACTTTGAATTTGGATCAAATATTTGAAATTATTTGATCAAATATTTGATTCAAATTCAAATTTTGATTTAATTGTGCGGAGTACTACATATATCTATTTAATTTAGGTAATTGTGTACTATTCTATTTAATCTTAAATGCCCGTAAAATAAAAGTTTCTCTCTAAAATAAGTACATGAAAGTTATATTAAATAGATGGCCGGGGATAAATCAGTTATATTCTGTGTAGTTGGATATAACTATTATATATACAATATCTCACATATCGCGCGACTTCTGATAAATTATATCAAATTTACTAATATAAAATCCACTGATTGCGAATAATCACCTCGCGCGAAGGCGTATCTCTATTCATAACACGCAAATAAACAACCTTCGTGCTTTTAATTCCTACTTTAACACTTTATTAGTATATGCTCTTGAACAGGGGCAATATATGGGGTTTTTTCCTTGAAAGTGACATTTCCGATCGGATTAATTCGGACAAAAAACCCGAGTACCGGTTCATGTTCATATGTTAATCATCCTTTAACTTTATTGATTCAATAGTTTATCGAATAACTATTGAATCAATAAAAGTAAAAGATGATTAACATATGAACATGAACCGGTACTCGGGTTTATTTTTGTCAGAATTAACCCGATCGGAAGGTGATTTTCAAGGCAAAGACCCACATATATCGAATTATGTGATTTAGATCACTACATGCTAGGGTTGTCTTATATCTTGTAAATAATCTTATTAACTAAAGGAAAAACTTAACCTGAACTGGGGTTTAGGCAATTTATATTAGACCCTGGGGTCTAAAAATTTGTTGTGAACCCCAATTAATTAGCCAATCAGTGTGTCTGCATAATAATCACTATAAAATCGATTTTTTATTTTATTTTTTCTTTCTATAATTTGATAGTCGCTACTTGATTTGTATTGTCGCTTTGGGATCTACCACAAAATCCCGACATCCAAAATCCTGACAGCACAAATCCCGACAGTGCTAATCCCGACGTACATAATCCCGACAAGATAAAATCCTGACATGTTAAATTCCGACAAGATAAAATTCCGACAAGATAAAATCCCGACAAAATAAATTGAAAAATGATGCGAAACATGCATAGATTTGAATATACGCATAAGTTTAAATGCATCGTAATAATTTCTTTATTAATCGTATATTTATACAAATATTTGTTGAAAAGCACCATATCAATTTCAAATTGAAAAATG